TAGTAGTAGTAGTAGTAGTAGTAGCAGTGGTAATAGAAATAGTAGTAGTAGTTGTTGTTGTAGTAGTAGTAGTAGTACTAGCAGGAGTAGTAGTAGTAGTAGTAGTAGTAGTTGTTGTTGTTGTTGTTGGTGTTGTTGTGGTAGTATCAGTAGTAGTAGCAGTAGCAGCATTAGGTGTAGTACTTCTAAGAATGATAAGGAGAACAAAAAGTAATTAGAATGTATACAGGCGCACGTAAACATATACTCAACCAGTTCTAGAGTAATACTCGAAGTCATAGTAACAACAATGACCGTGATAGTAGAAGTAGAAGTAGTAGTAGTAGTAGTAGTAGTAGTAGTAGTAATAGTAGTAGTAGTAGTAGTAGTAGTAGTAGTAGAAGTAGAAGTAGTAGAAGTAGTAGTAGCAGTAGCAGTAGTAGTAGTAGTAGTAGTAGTAGTAGTAGTAGTAATGGTAGTAGTAGTAGTCATATTGTAATGATGATAAGGAGGACAAAAATAACACCAAATGCTAAAACGACCCGATGCGCAGTATGCCGGACGAGTGCCTTCGCTCAAGCTGCATTTACATGTTCCCGCAGGCAGGAAACCACGACGCTCGTACTCAGATTTGCAGTTGCTCCACCTTCCGGCAGAGTTGGACCTACTTCCCACGACACTCGCTAAATTACATATAGTTAATTTGCGAACATTTGCATTTGGTAGCAGCGGCAGCTATACGACGAGATGATAACGACAATAAGCAACACCTGCAAAACTTATGAGAAAAAAAAGGGAGGCTGTTCCACGAAAGCCTTATTCGGCACATTTCGGCGTTGCAGCCGGAGCACTACGAAACTGCAAAGGATGCGCCCGTCGGAGAGCGCGACCATGTTGGGAAACAGCACCGGGCCCTGACGGCGGCGAAGAGAACCAAAAGTCAACCCCTCTCAAGCTTTTCAGTGTCATTGCGCGGCCTGCGTGTACATGAAACGCCGAGGACCGCGACTTCGTTCTCTAGGCTGCGAGTGTCTCTTTCAAAACTTCTGATTGTTCCTCTCATCTGAAATCTGTTCGCTATGCTTAATCCCAGAATTCGTAGTCAGTCGGCTGTACTGTTGCTGGTCTGTTCGATGTCCTTCTCCTGGTAACTGTACATGACATTGCTACCAGCAATTCATTTGTCGGTCGTACTCTCGTCGTCGTCGACGTCAGATTCGGTGTCTTGGATATCTCAGTCTTCTTGGATTAGCTCTGATCTCTCCGTTTCTCTTGCTCGTCAGTTGTTGGCAGCTGCGGTGGCACGTGGGCACCACAAACCAAAACATGCAGCTAACAACATGAATCAGCAAGACTCTCAAACACTGAAACCAACACTTGAATGCCAGCTAGCAATCTGAGCACCGGCACATCTTATCACCGGCCTCATTCAAGACTTCCGCTTCGCCAAGAACCGGAGTGCCCAATGGGTCCTAGCCAGGGCGGGTTGAGTCATTTGCTCATCTTGGCCCTCGGTGAATATTGTGTATGTGCATATCTCTCTGCACGCAATATCTTAGGTAGACATATATAGTATATATATATATATATACACATGTATGAATATATGTATACATGTAGGATACCCATATCTATCACATGTATGCGTGTATCTGAGTGTGTATGTAAGCATGTATGCGTGTATGCATGTATGTATGTATGTATGTATGTATGTATGTATGTCTGCAAGCATGCATGCACATACATAAATGCATGCAGCATGCATGCATACTTTGGCATACTGTAGCCATTGAGAGGCAGTTGCTTGGATGTTGACAGGCGCTGTTCTCGAGGCACACTTTGCATGCCGAGCTTGGCGGCCGAAGTTGCTGCAACGTTGGCTACAACGACTTTAGGGGTTTAGGGTATAGCCTATGCCCTAAACCCCTAAATTAGTTGTGAGGGTATAGCCTATACCGTATAGGACTTAGGGAACTAACTATACCGACCGTGAGAGTAAGGCAGCATTTAAAGAAATGCGATTTGCACAGATACACATGGATGCCATCTAGATGCAGATAGGCAGATTGGTGCCTGCAACAAGGCAGTGCGACATGTATCATGCGAGAAGTTGGGTCATCCTATGTTTCATTGCAGGAATGATCGGATCTGATCCCCCTGAAGTCTTTGGCCCCTGCCTGAAGCATGGCGACACGAGTCAGAGCCAGCGGCGTGGCGGCGACTTCTTGGCTCTGGACTTCGTAGAGGAAGATCGCCTCAAGATTCCCAACATCTTTCCTGTTCAGTTTGATGCCCCTCAAGACATTCAATCATGTAGCACAACCCATGTACGTGACATCCAAATCGATACTGGAAGCATCAATCACAAAGACAAGAGTGAAACAAACCTTTCCGAAACTCAGGACCGAGCAGAAACCACAAGTTCAGTCCAGGTGGCGTGCCGCGGGCCAGGAACCCTCCAATCCACCTCCGGCGAATGTAAGGACGGCACTGGCATCCTATTCCGGGTGGCTTTCGGCTTCCAGATTGATCTTCAACGCTGAACCAGTACTAAATTTACTAAACCCCAAGCCAGCTAGGCTTACAGCTTTCAAGACCGGATGCAGATGCAGAAGTTGGGCCCCGGCTGCAACACTGCTCATCCGCGACACGCCGGTGGAGAGGAGGACTTCGGGGGACACCTGCAATGGATTGTCTCCGGTCTGAGCATCGAAACCGGCAGCCAAGGGCAAGCGCCTGCAACGACATCCGCCAGGGACCGACCCCTCGCACGACGCTGATGTGGGCCAGACCTAGCAGAGCTTTTGAACATGAGGGGACGGGAACATCCAGTGCAGTGAGCCGAGAAGCAAAGCAGCACTTCTTTAATCCACCTTTCTGTCTGTATCTTCCTCCTGGATGATTCCCATGACAACTTTTCATCACACGAAGGCAGCATGTTGTCGAAATGCTCCTGCACTATCCTGAAACTCTGTCGGGCCACCTTCTTCGTTGGTGTGGGCCAGCCATAGCACACCATCGCCAGAGGCGAAGAGCTGCAAATCATCCACCGAGGCCTCGAGCAGACAGCTTCGCTCTACTACCAGGACCCCTACACACCAAGCAAGGGCAGCAAAGCTCCAGGCCAAAGAGGAGGAATCAAACACGCCATACACGGAACGGACGTGCTATCACTGGCCGCGGTCGTGGCGGTGCCGGTGGCGCAGGCAGTGGGATGCAGTGGCAGTATGCAGCAGGCAATGGTGGTGCTCACCGCAGGTCACCGGCACCTCGGGCAGTCGACCTTGTCGGAAAGGCGGTCGCTGGCGAGCTTTTGACATATCGGCTGTCCTCATGGCCCTTCAACGAGACGATGGGCATATGCATCTTTATCATCATCATCGTCATCATCATCATCACCAACATCATCAGTATCGCGAGGATGTCAGGTACTGCAAACAGAAAGAAACACAACAAGATCTCTTTACATACTGCCGCTAAGATTGAGTCCCAAACCCCTCAAGGATTGGGAGCAGGATGCAATTCGGAAACAGTTGCAATATGGGGTTGTTTCGCGAATGTGGCTTTCTAGGAACCGAATGTCGAGTCCTCCATCCTTGACCACCACAAACCTAAACCGATTGATTATCAACGAATCACCTGAGGCATCCTTGTCGTTTCTTCGGCCTTTGTCCTAAAGGCCGAAGTAAAGCGAGATCTCAGATCAGACTGATGCTCCGACTTCGGACGCAGCCGAAGCGCCCCAGTGACCAGCGCACAGCCCAGGGATGGCGCCAGGCCCCTGGGCGGGCGCAGCGCCGTCCGCAGGGAGATCCTGAAGCTCGCGGCTCCGGACAGTAGGGCTGCATTGATGTCAAGGGCGGATTTACAAGCCTTAGGGCTTCAGAAAAGCAGGTGTCTTGAAGGAGCTTTGGAGTGTGTTTCGAGATTCAGGAAGGACAAGCAAGTCGGCTTCATCTTCCAAAACGTGTGCCACCGCTTATGCGTGTGTTGTGTGTGACTGTTCATGTCTGCATGCACCAGTGACCCTGCCCTCCGGACGTTTGGGATTTGATAACAATATATGCCAGATATGCACAATCAGTGCCTGGAATACATCATAAGGATACAAAAGCGTGGAGTTCTGACCTACCTCTGCGAGTGCAATCGCTTCCTCCAGCTAGTTGCCTGCAGTGCACTGAGAAGAAACTAGCAGCTGCATGCACCCAGTCTCAAGCTTTTCAGAAGCCGGCATAGCAGCCCAGACACGGGCAACCAACAGTGCAATATGAGAGTCCCAAAACTAAAAGCCACAGGCTCGACATCAAGCCTCTTTGCTCTTGACCCTACTTTCACAACAACCTCCCTTTCGAAGACTGAACACAGTAGTAGTCGCCGTCATCGTAGTCGTAGACTGTAGACGTTGACGTCGTAGTAGCAGCAGCAGCAGCAGCAGCAGCAGCAGCAGCAGTACAGTAGTAGGAGAAGGAGTAGCAGAAGCAGCAGCAGTAGTAGTAGTAGTAGTAGTAGTAGTAGCAGTAGTAGAAGGAGTAGCAGCAGCAGCAGCAGCAG